ATTACCCGACAGAAATCGTTTGCCGATTCCAGGTTCCTTTTAATTCGTAACAACCACACAAGTCCTCAGTAAAAATTCGAAGCCGAACCACTTCATTCTCGTAATCAACCACGATTATTTCCCTAAACAGCATTAACCAGTTGATCGTTGTCATGGAGACGTAGGATCTGAATGCGAAAGTATCTTCGTGGAACAGATCACCATTTTAGTATCATCCTTGCATCTTCTAAATTCTCTTCTCCTTTCGAATTTCAGGATTAAAATTTTGCATGCATTTCTCACCTCTCCCAAACGTCGTCAGACTAACACTCAAAATGAATCATTTCTGTAATTTCATGTCGACGTATCGTGACTGCATGATTACGGGTGTTCACGGCGGTGTAAGCTCACGTTATGGGATTTAGGGCTCTTAGGAGTCGAATGTTTGTTGTTCTCAAATGCTGACGACAAGAAACTTAATTAAAATTAATTGTTTCCTTGTGATTGAGGTTGTAAAGCATTTACAACTGGACGCGACATCACAGACAATTTGCACGCGAGATGCGATGATTAGTGCAAACGGCGAGGAACAAGCCCACGACCTCTTGAACACCAGGTGGTTCTTATAATAACCACCGATCAATGCACGCGGAAAATTTCTAACAGGTAATTATTTTTCTCATTATATATCCATGCCAAGTTCTGGGTGACATAAATTAATCATTCTTTTCCTTCTTTTCGGCGCAGAGGCGAACGCCACGCCCGCTTTGATCACGCATTGTCTGGGGCGGCTGGCTTCGTATTTAATACATGCTGCATAGGAAACAGTTTTGTGCAGCGGAGACTCACAAAATCCCAAATCCCAGTCCTACTTCGCCGTCTCTCTGTGACTCCACCAGACACACACGCGTTCCGAGCGTCGCTTACCCAGAAATGGATGTTCCTACATCACACAAAAGCCATACGACAGAAAGACGTTTCGGCAGTCTTCTATTTTTACTTAGGATGGGTGGCGTAGCAGTCAACATGAAGCCGCAGTCAACAACACACGTCCTGTACAAGGCGTATTTGGAGTTGTGTTATTATGCTACGTTTTTGTCCGTATTTATGGATTGTCTACAGAAAACAGACGACTTGAAAGAATCCATGAAGAAAGTCCGTTTGTTGTTTGCATTTGGCTACGTTTCTTGGATACATCTGAGTCTCAGGTACTTCAACCACCTCTAGCTACAGCTGGAAGATGTCAGTACTACCAGGAGACAGCATCCTACTAATGCAGTTGTATATGACTTCCACAAAGGCCAAGACCATCACTGGGGTATATCAAATTTAACAAAAAGATCTTCAGGTGGCCCTGGGTGTAAGGGAAGGCTCAAATTGTGTCGGCTGACCTAGCATTCAGATAGCAATTTACATGCGTAAACTTCCAGAATTCTGTATGGTCCAAGGACCAGTCAGATCTACATACGAGGTGCGATCGGAACGTTTCCAGACTGTGTCAATAGAGGGCGATTTCGGAATGGCGTGTGCATCAAATTTTGCCAAAGGCTCGCCAAAATGGCTACGGAAACCTATGAAATGCTAAAGCAAGCATTTGGGGAGTCCGCAATGGGTCGTGCACAAACTTTTGTGTGGCATTCACGTTTTAAAAATGGCCGCACCCTCCTTATTCGCCGTGTGCCTTCTTCCTCTTCCCAAAGATGAAATTCAGCTAAAGGGAAGGAGATTTGAGACGATAGAAGAGATTCAGGCAGAATCGCAGATGGTGCTTGACAGGCTGACAAAGAAAGATTTCCAGGGATGCTTCCAGGCTTGGCAGAGGCGCTGGGATCGTTGTGTTCACTCCCAGGGGAACTACTTCGAGGGTGATGGATGAATTTAATACCTGAGATAAGTGTACGGGTTTTTGTAGGCGCAGTCTTGAAACTTTCCGATCGCACCTCGTACTCGTTAATTAAAAGAAAACAGATCAACGCATTCTTACACTGTTACATGGAAATTGCTTTATAAAAATAAATCCGATTAACATTTCATAAGAAAATGTTTGTTACTGGGAAACTGGGCGTCTCTCAGCGGAAAAGAAACTTTTGTTTCATTCATAGGAATTCACTTGTTTGTACGTACACTGATGATATTTGGCGGCTGTGCCGCTTAGATTAGAAAACACGGCGACCGATGCAGTGATAGCGCATAGAGGTAAGTGACGCGGTCGGCACAGTGCTAAATGTTCTCACTGCAACACCAGTTTTCATTTTGGCCTAGACCTTCTGTAAATGAGCGTCTCATGTTTCAGTTTCAACAAAGTTGAAATCGAGTATCTGCTCAAATTTACGGAGAACTTCACATGGGAGGACATTCCGGCCAGAGATCCAGAATCTGGTCGCGTTACGATGGCCGGACGTGTCCAACTTGTACAAACGGGAGCGAAGTATGTGGCCATTTGCATGGTTGTGTTCCACGGGATTCAGTCATTCGTTCACATGTGGCAGAATCATGACATGGTCTTTACCACCTGGTATCCATTCGACGTTTCGAACAGCCCAGTGTATGAACTCATCAACATCGCGCAGGTACTGTTCTACTGTTAAAACATTTCTGCACAATCGATTTTGGTCTTCTGATTAGTAATGAGTGTGGACTTCTAGCTAGTTACAGGTCTTCCGGGGTTTCGCACTGCCTCCATAATGACGTTACTCCGAAACGATGGTAAACGCCGGCACAAATCAAAATTATTTCTGTACAAGGCCCATAGCTGAAGGAGTCCAAATAATGTACGTATAATCCTCTGAAGCCCAGCGGTAACTATATGTACCAGCTGCTTCAAAAATCAGTAACGCTTCATTTTGCATTTACATGTTTCGTATGATTCTCACTGTAAACGTCGATTATCTCCTTAAACAGCGTTAACCAGTTGATCTTTGTAATGGTGAAGTGTTGTGTTTTCTTCGCGGTACGGACTGAATCTTTAAATATTATTCAGATTCCTACGCACTGTATCTATGAGTTTCGCGTGATTCTCACTGTAAACAGCGATTATTTCTTTAAACAGCGTTAACCAGCTGATCTTTGTAATGGTGAAGTGTGGTGTTTTCTTCGCGGTACGGACTGAATTCTTAAATATTATTTAGAGGACCTTCGGCTTCAGATAGTTAATCAGTAAATTAAAAACAAATATCCTTTCATGTTCAGACGTTCAGTCAATGCGTAAAACAGATGATGAGAGATACTAACACATTCCATTTCGTTTGTGTGTTGACAGTTCAGTGCATTTGTGCTGGTCACAGGTGTGTTCGCCGGTTTCCAAGGCTTGTACGCCATACTTGTGTGTGTGGCTTGTAGCCAGCTCGAGAAGCTTAGAGCGAATCTCTCATCTAGCGGCGCAGAAATTGCAACTCCGGACCAGGACTCCGGAGACAACCCGGAATCAGATCCGGGCCCTGACAAAATTCAGGAACAACTCAACGACTGCATACGTCACCATCAGATTACGCAACTGTACGTAGTGCGAATTTAACGCGTGTCTTCGTAGGGATTACAGCAGAAATAGAAGTTCTCTGTAACAACGTCTTTGATTTTCGTTTCGCAGGTACATGCAGGAGCTGGAAAAGTCGCTGAGCTCAGCGTTAGGCGGACTATTCTTCTGTCTGCTGGCCGCAATGTGCTTCGTGTCATTTTCTGTCGTGACGGTAAAAATGTTTGTCTTTCCAAACTAAGGTACGCTTCCAAGTAGCAGTGTAAATTTACTAAGATTTTAGGTTTTAACGACGATGGCGATCTTGATGTTGGTTTTCGGGGTTGCAACGCCGTGTGGACGTGTCTATGTAGACACCGATGTTTCGGAGAAATATACTGCCTCCATCTTCAGGACTGAAGTCAGCTTACTAAACCATGCAAGGAAATTAGTCACGTTTAAAGCAGGCCGACATGCTTCAAATGGCAGTTGGATGTTCATGTTTGTACCAATTAGCGCTCCGATTTAATGATCCCTGGCTCTCCTCGTGTGTGAAATAGCAAATCCCAGCTCTGGCGTAAGACTGTAGCGCTGTTGTCAGCCCGTCATCTGAACGCGCGGTGATCAGTGACGGGTGATTGAATCGCAAGCAAAGGACGTTACTGTTGGACCAATGCCCTCCAGGGGTCTGATTGGAGGTCGATACATTTTCCGAAATCACCTTTTCACCAGACACGTTTAACTTTCTTTTTTAGAGCTGGGGAGATCACAACGACGTGTCGCAGGCGCTGGTGATGTACGTCTGTATGATGTCCAACGTATTTGTGTTTTGCTGGCTGGGAAGTGAATTGTCCGATCAGGTAACTGATGACAAGCAAAACATTGTTTCCCCAGCGTAATTAATCACAGATACCAAACGTAAATTTACTTTGGTTGTGCCAGATACGCTCATTTAAACGCTTCTTAACCTGGAAATATGTTGCAGGCAGCAACCAGCCATAACGCTCGTCAGTACCCCTTTTAAGTCGTCCCACAAATTTGTAAGCGTTCCTCTTGGTCATAGCTAATCGCCATATTGAACTACAATTCTTCTGTAATTTTCGCTATTTTATACCCTCTTACCATGAGAAATTGTTCGTAAATCATTCCTCTTCTTTGCAGCCATGTCAGTCTCGCCACAATAGAAACCAAAAATGTAGATGAGGGAAGTTTCATTTTGGTTTTTATTTTCTCCCGCCAATTTTCAGTGTTGCCAAGTTTAATTATTAAATAAACTAGAATGTTCTTTGATGTATTTTAGTCTCTGTCGTGCGTTGTTTTGTTCCTGTTGAAGGCTCAGCGCGTGCGCGATGCAGCCTGGAACAGCAACTGGGTGGGAAGTCCCGTCCGATTTCAACGCTGCCTCGTGTTCATCATCGCCTCAGCCAACAAAGAGTTCAAGCTCACGGCGGGGAAATATGTTCCCATGGCCAACAAAACAACGTTAAATGTACGTACCATTCACACTGCAGCAAAACTTGATTATTCTAGGGGGATTTGCTCTCTCGCAAGCATAAATTATTTTTATCTTAAGTTAGTCGGGGTTGACTATTAAGTTTAATTAAAAAAGGGAGAAATTTCATTTTTTAATGGTTCACTGAATATTCTAACATTTGCAGTGGCAAAAGGTTTGCTTTTTTTAATGATACGACTTTTTGTCTGCAGATGATGAATCAGACAATCTCCTTCTTCATGTTCCTTCTCCACATGAAGAGGAAGACCGAGGAAACGATCTAATCTACTTCACATAGAACTGAATATTCTTTTTGAAATTTTTTCGAAGCAATTTTACATTGATCAGAATAGATATCAGACATTAATTAGATGCGGTCTCACAAAAATCTCCAAATACACACACGTGTGTGTGTGTAAACAATATTTTAATATAGCCTAATATGTAACCATAAAACCTCAATTAAATATAATCAACAACACAAACATAATATTTAAGAGGAAACGATATTAATGGTATCAAACATCATACAGATCCAACAATAATAATAATAATAATTTATATTAAAACACAGTTCTAAAATACTACAGCCGTTTCGGGGATATTTTGGATTTGTATCCCATTGTGTATCCAATCGCTCCTCTCAAAACCCAGTTTAATTTTTGAAATTCTTACAATTTTAATTTCCGTTCTCTTACCTTCTGGTGGGGGCCGAGTTCCAATAACCTAATTTGCTAATGGCGCTGTCATTTTCTTGTAAAACCCGAAAAATATTTTCTTCCTTCCTGTACGGAACCTTAGGTACAGTGAGAACATTTGGCGACTGTGCCGTTAGGACTACGAACGGCGGGAACTCACGCGCTGATCTCACATACAGCGAAAAACACAAGGACAGAGACAGATGAGAACATATTTTGACTGTTTGTTGAGCGACGTGGTTCTGGGTTCCATAAACCCCATTAATGTAGACTAGTTTTATTTAAAGGAATTAGTTGTGGGCGGGGCTAACGCAGTCCCGTCGTGTTCGCGATCCAGTCTCGCAGAACAGAGACGCGAGTGTATACACCGGGGAACCTCCCAAGTCCGCAACCAACGCCCCAGGACACGACGCCCGTCAGAACACCACGGATCACCAGAGGTCCACCGGAATCACCCTGTAACACGGGCAACAGGACCCACCATCAGCCTTCTAAAGTGCACGATCGTGTAAATCATATTTAAGAAATCAGTCCGTACCGCGAAGAAAACACCACACTTCACCATTACAAAGATCAACTGGTTAACGCAGTTTAAGGAAATGATCGCTGTTTACAGTGAGAATCACGCGAAACTCATAGATACAGTGCGTAGGCATGTAAATAATATTTAAAGATTCAGTCCGTACCGCGAAGAAAACACCACACTTCACCATTACAAAGATCAACTGGTTAACTCTGTTTAAGGAAATAATCGCTGTTTATAATGAGAATCACACGAAACACAGAAATATTCTATGCGCGTAAAACGTATTGTTAGTAAATGTTAAAATAGAAGGTACATATACTTACCACTGTGTCTTAATGAGTTGAAGACCAATTATGAACTTTATCTCCGTAGCAGATTATAGTATTTCGTAAATTTATACTGATTTATCCTCTAAATTGATGTTTTGTAGTTTAATTTCGCGATTTTAATTATTTATCGTACTCCGGACTGCTAACGAGTTTAAATGTTCTATACATGAGGGATCAGTTGAAAGGCTATTACCTGCTCCATGGAGTTAGTTAGCTCGCTCGTTAGTAAGTTAGTTAGCTCGTTAGTCTGTATGAATGCTGCAGTGCACGTTTGCCTACTTGGCAGGAGTCTGTGCCTCCGGTCGGATATCGCCCTGCACACAACATGCGCGATGTTAGCTCCGGGTAGACCTCGTGGCATACACCGCGACTGACGATGGTGACATTAGCCCTTCGGAGCAAGTTACCCTGGAAGGAGGAACGAAACGTTGTCTTCTGAAAGAACCTTTACTGCATGCGAAAATAGTTCAAGACAAACATCACTGGAGGTTACATTACGCTCGTAATCAGTAAGGACACTTGGTGGATGTCAAATCCTTCCGAAAAGTTATGACTCAGTAGTTAAAGCCAACACGAATCCACGAATCCCTTTAACTGTTCTGCTTGAATCTGTTTCCACAAAGACGCGGAAGAATGCTTGGAATATTTTATCTGTTTACTTAGCGACAGGAGCCACGGTGGTCCACCGGTTAGAACGCTGGCCTTGTAATCCTGGGGGTCTCGGGTTCGATTCCCGGCGGTGCCCGAATTTATAACTTGTGTTGGGCAAGGCCGTGGTCTAGGCAACACGGAGTTTTCCTCCGTGGCATCCCAACAATTACTCCATTCACACACAGAAGAAGGCAATGGCAAACCACTTCTGGATCATCTGCCAAGAACGTATATGAACAGGTCCCAGTCCGAGAAAAGGATGGAAGGATCCTGTTCATATGGACCTGTCGTCAGACAGAACACTAAATAATAATAATAAAATAACTTTGCGACGTTGACAGAAGTGAGGTTATGTAGAGTCGAATTACGTGACGACTAGCAAACTGAAAAGGAAATGGCGCATCGTAGCCTAATTTTAAATACTACTATCCCAGATGGGATTCGGTCTGAGGAAAACCACGATAAACTGGGTCAGGACAGCCGATCTCCGGGGCCGAGATAAGAAATCCCTGAACATTCCGAGTGATAATCAGGAGTGCCAACTGCTCGGTCAGAAATGTAACTGTAAAACTTGCCCTGTTTTTGGATGCTGCGTGTGACTCACCGTCTGTTTCCTGGCTTTCGACCTGGCGAGTTCCTTGTTCTGCGACATGAAGGCCGCAGACGCCTGCACCACCTGGCGGTGGCCCCATCCGGACACTTTGGCCTTCGCCCCGGTGGCTGCGAGGTAGTTCCGCGACGGAAGCCTGATGGCCCTGACATTCGGCCCGATAACGAACGGGGGCTTCACCTGCAAACGAACGGACTGTCGTGCAGACACAGCAGCTCTTGGGAGAACGCTGGGATTCACACATCCTGAATTAGGGCGGGCATAAGAATAATTGGTGAGCTTTCATGTTCCGACGGCGACGAGTATTAATATGACTGTTTTCTGGGAGACTGACCGACGTTTCAGAGATGCATACTGCATCCGTCGTGGCGAGCGCTAAGATGCTGCAGGGATCAGTCAGCTTCCGGACTACGCGGTGCAACATGCCAGAAGACAGCCATCTTCAAAGGAAGGCTAACCTAACCTGACGTGGGTGTACTTTATTCTTGTGAAACAAGACAAAGTAGATAAGGAGAAGAAAACTACAGAGAAACAGAGGGAGCTCGGCCGCCACAGTCGCCCTACCTTGAGCAGCGCGATGTCGTAATCGTATACGTCCTGGTCGTACATCTGGTGAGGAATGACCCGGGCGACCCCGTGCAATGCGCCACCTTCGTCATTTCTGTTGGACCCGGCCCTCAGACTCAAGGTCACAGCTTCCACGATTTCTCCCTCGTCCCAGTCTCTGCCGTGATAGCAAATTACAGTCAGATGCGACACGACAAAGGTCGGACTGCATTCTGAACTAAGAGCTCACGTTCGGTAGGTTGGGTTAGATTAGGTTAGATTAAGTTAGATTAGGTTAGGTTAAGTTAGGTTAGATTAAGTTAGGTTAGGTTAGATTAAGTTAGGTTAGGTTAGATTAAGTTAGGTTAGGTTAGATTAAGTTAGGTTAGGTTAGATTAAGTTAGGTTAGGTTAGATTAAGTTAGGTTAGGTTAG